ATATATATATATTAAATGGAAGCTTTGAATTAATTTGACTGAATAAATTAATCCAATTTTTTTAAATCTTAAATATATTAGACAAAACTAATTTTACCATATAAAAAATTTATTTTCAATATATATTTAAAATTTGGAAACTTTAATATTAAATTTTATAAAAATAAATATTAGACAAAATTTAAACATTTAATAATTTAAAAAAATGAGAAAAGAAAAAAAGAGACATGGAAAAGAGATGAACGAGACAAATGAAAAAGGGAAAAAATGAGGAGAAAGCAGAGAAAAGGAGAAACAAGAAAGACAAGATAAAAGAGATAAAAAAGAAGAAAGAAAAGAAAATAAAATATACAAAATTTTGAGTTCGAATGATATTGTTAAATGAATGTAATATATATAAATTCTACTAAAAATCATAAAATTTATCTTATAAAAAAATTCATTAAAATTTGCATGTTTTTAAATATCATTAGACCTTTTATAAATAAAAAATATGAATTAAATATTATCAAATTTTGACATTTGAAAAAAATTATGGATTGATTAAATTTATTAGGATTTCTGACTTCTAAGGGTCAACAAAACACAATGTCATCGAATTTTTGGTTCATTAGTCAGGAAAAACGAATGATGTGGACTGATGTTGCCCGACAAGTATAATAAATTAAACAAATTTCTTCAAAATATTTTTAGAAAAATAAAATAAAAATTAAAATAAACTTTTTTATAAATCAAAATTAACTTACGAATAAGTTAATTCTTTAAAAAAAAACTAACATTTTTTTATAAATTAATTTATATATAAACTAATTTTATTTATTTCACTATTCTTCCCTTAAAAGTATTTCTGAGATTTAAATGCTAAGACTAGTGGTATTTAGTTCATAAAGTGTAGTTGTGTTTCTGAATCAAGCAAAACAGCAAATATTCAGACAAACAATTACAGACGCTTTTTTAGCTAATCCTGATAATTGAACATGTTCGTAATCAAGATCACAAAGGCCAGCAAAACATGGTTGGTGTGAGACCTAAATTTCATAAAACCCCCTGGTCATTGTTTTCCAATTGATTTTGTATGTAATGGGTTGTGCAAAGCGCAATGTGAGTTGATTTAATCATAAAGATTACCATACTGCAAGTATTGAGGCACAGCTCTATCTGGTTGATGTCATTGCTAGTTGCTACCATCTCCATTTAGTGATAACACATAGCCACTACACTCTACACTCTACAGTGATAGGCTTCCGAATTGCTTGTTCCATTGATCATAAATGCCAAGTTCATTTGGGGAAACAGAAGGCCTCACTTCTTGGAGGGCATTCTCGAAGTCCTACACAGAGAAGAAAACCCACTTTAAAATTAGTCCAAATGACAAATGTGTCAAGGAATTTTAGGTTCATGACGCTGCATTCCTCATACCTTTAGAGTTACGGGCCGCATGTCCTCCTTTTTCAACTTTGCAATTTCTATGCCTTGTCCTAAAGCCTCTCTTAGGGGACCCATGGAAGCATCCTTCACCAAGTTTTTCATGTCTGATCCTGAATAACCTAGAAAGGTTACCAAGTAAAAGCAAAGTAAATCAATCACCAGAAACCAATGATTTTTTCTTATTTTTTAAATGTTTAATTATCCTTTTAGTTATAATTTCACAAAGGTTACATTTTAATTTTCTACATAAAAGTGTTTGATTTTAGTCTTTGTACATGCTATTTTTTTTTTCTCTTTTAGTCTCTATGTCCATTGCTATAAGGACTAAATGATCAAATTTACTAATAGAAAAGAAAAATAGTATGATAGAAATTAAAATAGAATATTTTAAAAAGTAGAAATTAAAAGATAAAGTTTTAGAGACTATAAAAATATAAGGATAATTAAACCTTTTTAAACTAACAGTCAAACTGCTATGCAGAAAAGATGCTGTAATTAACTTGAAAAGAAATGTAAGTTCACACCTTCCGTTAAGTTGCATATGATATCCATTTCGTTTTGTGATAGATTGAATAATCCATCTTTTTCTAGAAGATTACGTACAATCCAAGCTCTTGCATCTTTATGTCCAATACAAATAAGTTAGTCACCTGGTGCTAAGAGTTTGATGAACAAGATGGAGAATCATGATTAGCATTTAGCACCTGAGGATGGTAGGGGAATGTAAAGTCTTTTAGTGAGTCTCCTTCTTGCTGCTTCATCAAGCTCTTGGGGACGATTTGTTGCCCCTGTATAAATTTTACCCAAATTCTATTACATATAGTATAACAGCAACAATTCATGTGAGAAAAGCTTACTACCATTAAATTGAAACGCTAAGAAATAAAATCTTCTGGGCCTAAAAAACTGAAGGATCACAATTACCACAGTATATATCTACTAACATGATATATAGAAATAGAACAAATTGATAACAAGATCAAACTTGTTTTCTGTTCATAAAATGAATTCTTGTACGTCAGAATAGACCAAGCCGACAACACCTTTGATATATATTTCTAAAATAATGCTGATGGGTTAGATTATCAATACGGATGGTGCCATTATTACCAGCAAAATGTGTAGGACTCGTCCTTCCTCCACCAATCATCTAGCAAAATAAAAAATAAAAAAATAGAAAACAAAGATAGGCTAGCTAATGGCTTTTGAGAAATTTTTTTTTTTTACTTTTAGTTTTTATTTTCACAAATAATTACAGAAAAGCCACATTTAAGTTGTGAAAAAAGACATGAAAAAAAAACATTTTCTCAAACCAATTAGGCCCTAAATTTTCCTTCTTTTTGAATTTACATAGAATCAATAAGGCCTTGAGAAAGTATGACAATGATCACATAATAGTCCTATGTTGTGATTCATTGTCCTTGATAGTAAATATAAACCGTCTTCATGCTCAAATGCTGTCTTAAGTTTACTATAACACATTTCAACTGCCAAAGATGAAATAAAAAATATTGTTTAACTAAGGCCATGCATTAGCTACCTGTTAATGGTCACGAAAGATACAGGTAGTAAGCTAAAAATGGAGTGTATTGCAAAGCCAAATTAAAAAAGGAACTTGAACCCAGTGTGTCAGTGATAACCTATAAGAAGAATTTGCTCGCTATCAGTGTCAAAGCCTTCCATTTCTATGAGAAACTGCGTCTTTAGCCGTCTACTTGATTCATGCTCACCATCTGACTTACGCTGCAACAAGTTATTTGTATTAACTGATGAAGAGCAAAAAATTTCATGGCGTAGTTAAAGTAAATTTCCACACGGTAAAATTGCATGTCATGAACTTTCTTATAGATGATAATGCTATCGCTCAGAATGTCAAAACCTACTATGGCAAGAAATTGATGTTGCCTTTATTGGCTATAACATAGCATACCTGAGAAAGGAGTGAATCTATTTCATCAACAAAAATTACTGCTGGCTGACGACAACTGGCAACTCCAAAAAGGGCTCTTACTAGCTTTTCACCTTCACCAATCTATAATTATCATAGCACAGAAAGGAACCATTTAAGAGAAGTAAGAAACATTGCAATAGTTTGTGGAATTATGGTTACACGACCTAACTAAAACTGCAGAAAATAATGTAATCTAGGTTTTGATGAACTTCACATTCACAAGATATTTAACTAACAGAAATATATCAGCAATCCTTTAAAATAAACAGCTAAATCATAAGCATATCAAACTTACCCACTTGCTGGTCAACGAACTTGCAGATATGTAAAAGAATGTTGCCTTGGCCTCCCCTGCTATGGCTTTTCCTATCATTGTTTTACCAGTTCCCTAGCATTCAAAGATAAGAGATATAAAGACCAGAATCTTTGCAATTTATATCATAATAAGAGAATTTTGTACTTACTGGTGGACCAAACAGAAGCAGACCCCTCCCAGGGGCACGGCAGCCCTTAAATAAGTCAGGACGTTGCAGAGGAAGTATGACCATCTCATTAACAGAACTCTTGGCATGCTCCAATCCAGCTACATTGTCATTAAACGGCATATACTTTCATAAGTATGCAAACTGCCAATTTGGTGAACTAAGCAGACATATGAACAGCTTTTTATATTACCAATATCATCCCACCGGACATTGGGATCTCTATCCATAATCTCGTTACTAACATGTTCAATGAGGCGAGGTTCCAAATTCCTCAATTTCTCAGGAAGCTCACCATCAGGACCACACAAGATTTCCAGACTACAAACATATAAAACACATTAGAAAGTGAATGCATATATCATCCAACCAATCATCAATCATGATTGAGATCTACGACTTATTGCGAAGAGAGGAAAGGGTTTAAAGTGGGGAAAGTTCAAAAACACTAGTCTCATAGTACATACAATTAAAAAATATAGATAAAGAAAAATTCATTTTGTTTATATTTGCATGAGGAATGATTGAAACATCACAAATTAATATGTAGATAAAAAGACTTTAAGACTAGATTAAGGTAAGGGTTGATCGCCCCTCCCCTCCGCCACCATTAGATGAGTATATTGTAAGACTGAACTTTTTAAGACAATGTCTACAAAATTTAAAGAAATAAAGAATAGTCACTTGGAATTTGGAGTGTACTAGGCAAAGAGAATGAATTTGAGAGTTAGTGCAGATGGGGAGCAAGTAAGAACTTGAAGAATAATATGACGGTTGTACTACTAACCATTTCTTTGTAGAGTCATCTAAAGAATCATCACATTTTCCAGCAATGCGTGAGCTCATATATCCACCATTGTTCCCATTATATTTAATAGGGGGAACAAAACTACCACGGAGGCCACGTCGTGAAACACCATATGATCTCCCACCATGATACCTGTTGGTAGGATTGTTATCACATTGTGGTGAGACAGAGGCACTGGGTGAACCACCTACTCCTCGCTTCTTTGCTTCCATTTCCTGCCCCGATAATTTGAAAGCATTAACATCGCTACAAGCGAAGAAATTACCACACGAAAGGAATGGGAAAAAATGTGTCTAACTCAGATAAAAGTTAGCTGATAATGAGTATTTCCTTTCTCTTGCTAGAAAGCTTGTTTGATAATAATAGAGCGAGTTTGCTCGCCCTTTTAAGGGAATTTCCTTATAAAGAATGAATGTTTAAGTTTCATCTAGAAAGTTCACATTCTTTTTAGGAGAATAACACATGAAAAAATTCAGTGCACTAAAAAGGGCAACAACATGAACCAAATCTGACAATAAAATTGAAACGCTTATAATTGGTAATCTAGGAAACAATATATATGTCACCCCATTCTAATTTGCCAAATTCAATGACAGAAAAAGGAGAAAGTAGACAAATAAGGTAGAAATAATTATACCAGTTTTGCTCTAGCAGTAACAAACCCGTTGCCACAAAAACCAGGATTAACTTCCTCCTTACTTGACGGTGACTTCACATATCCAACTCTGGGGCTATTGTTTTCCATGTATACACGTTTTGTGGAAAATGTGTTTCCAAAAGCTCTTTCTTCTCCTTCACCGTGCAAGATAGAAGAGACACAAGGACTCTTTGTACGGCTGGCATGAAATTGAGGCCTATCAAGAATCATGCAGTCCTCAGAGTTATTACTTGTTATGTTCGAAGAACTCGTGGAACTGTTACTAGTCCTCGAGCTGTTTATCCCATACATAGATGGCAACTTAGCTTGCACCATTTGCTTCAAGGCTCTGCTGCCTGCTTTGTCCTGTTTCCCCGGTAGATCAACCTGAATTAAATAATATATCTTCAAAAAAGACATCTTTTATTCGCTAATCATAACCTCAACAATCTGGAAGAGCAGAAAACAATAAATACATGGATTTTAATTACAGTGTGATTGTCAACATGTCTTACTAATCGATTCTCATCTCTTTCCTTAGATTCCTTGACCAGAGCACGAAAATACTTCGAATTCCGAATCTTCTCAATGTCAATATCTCCTGCTGTGCCAAAAATGCATCCTGGAGACTTCTTTGCTTGCTCAAAAGCTTGGCTAAAAATATAGTGAGGAACCAAATAGTTAAGAAACATAGAGTCAGCAACAGAAAAACGAGAGTGAACAAATGTGAAAGTGAACCAAAATTCAAGGTTTTAAAAGAATGTCTGCATCTGCAATTGCAGCGGCAACGTCAAGACATTTGGGGTCTTTTTGCGCGTAAAGCAACTACAATTCTGGTTACATCAACCGCCTTTGTCTACAATATTAAAAATCACAACGAGACCACAACTACAATTCGATAATAATTTAAAAGCTTGCTAATATCGATCAAACATGTGAATTTTGAGTTTACACACTATCACGACTCTCAAAGTAACCAAGAAGAGTGGCTTTCGAACACTCTTAGCATTTTGTTTTTTCACTTCAAACACCAAAATTTTGGCTCGAGTAAAATATACAAGACAAGTATTTTGCTCAGACTATCATTATGCAAACAGAAACCCAGACAGACTGTTAAGTATGCGTTTGGTTTTCTGTTTGCACACAATGGAGAAACATATCTCTTGGTGTTTTTGATAAAACATAAATTTGAGGTTGTACCAATACCAACCGACAAACAAAATGCACTATAACTTATCCATCTATCCTCGAATCTTGATAAATTCTGACTGAATACCCTCAATTTTTCGCCCAAACCATGGGTTGGGACATTGCAAACAAAAATCCAAACACACTATTTGACTTCTCCAACAACTATCCTCACATCTTGACAAATACTGACCGAATTCTTTCAATTTTAAACAGGCTTAGTTTAGACTTATCATACCTACACTAACAAGTATTTAGTTAAACTTATGTTCACTTTTAATCTTCTTCCAAACTCTTTTCACTTTATTTCAATTGTGACTGCAGTTGTAGATGTGGTTGCAATTGCTGAATGAGATGAATTGCGCCCACTGCAATGTGAAATAATTTTATCTTTGCACCACATGGAAGTGTGCTTTATAAGTTCAGAGTTGAAACAAATATTAATGTGAAATCTGGTGCAGCTGAAACACCATTGACCGAAAATTATCAAAATAAAATTGTATGATAAAATTTTATTGAATATACGCTTAATTAAGGACTAAACTCACATGCAGTAGTACCATAGTTGCTGCTCATGCTGTTCTCCCCTTAAAATTAGAATTTAACCTTGGTAACATGTGTAATAAAGGATTCAATTAAGGATAAAACTCAGAAATAGTACTATAGATACTATTAGTGCTATTCTACTATTAGAATTAGAGCTTTGTCTAAGTAATTCGGTTAATATAAGATTCAATTAAATGTTAACGTGTATTATCAAAGTAAAAGTCCAATTCTGATGAGATAGCATTACTAGCATAAAAAATTACCAGCAATGTCTAAAGTATTATATGCAAGATTTATTCTTCAATTAAATGTTAACTCAAATTCTAATTAGAGAAAATTACCAGCAACACCACAATTCAGCATCCAAGTTTTATTTCAATTAAATATAAGTCATATTACCGAAGGGAAACTCTAATTCAATCAGTAACTATTGTGTATATAAGTTTTCTCCCTTTATTAACTAATTTAATTTCGACAGAATTCTTACAACTTTCCCACTCTAAATAACATGAAAAAAACATAATGAAAAGCATCAAATTCAAAACCAAATGATTCCATGTTCAGAATTGTGAGCAAAACATGCTGAAAATTAAAATTAAAAAAAAAAAAAACGCACCGATCAGATTGAGGAGTGAGGGATCGGTGAGCGGAGTGGAGCTTGGCGAGTGCGAGGCGGCGAATCGGGTGGATGAAGGCTTGGTCGACGTGGGAGTGGCAGTGCGCGTCGAGGAAGCCGAGGAGGCGAAGCGTGAGGACGTAAGCGGAGGAGAAGTCTTCGTTCTGGAGAGCGCGCTCGGCGCCGAAGAGAAGAGATTGCAGCCTCTTCAGCTTCTCCTCCACTTCCATTCTCCAACTCTTCTCCGTCGCTTCCTCCATCGTTTTCTGCACTTCGCTCACCAATCACAATTAACAACCACCGTGGAGAAGAAGAAGAAAAAGAAGAAGAAGAATTGCTATTTATTCTGATGCGTTTCTATTCGACCTTGTACTGTTCATCATCTCCCGCCATTTTCCCCTTGTTCTCCCGCAGGGGTTCTAGTAAATTAACAATTTTTATTTTTATTTTTTTAATTTTTTTTTACAGTGTAAGGTTTTTATTTGTAGAAAGCAAATAACCATTAATTTATTGCGTGTTGTAATTTCTATGAAAGGAAGTGAAATTTCTTAATGCAAATAAAATAAGTGGAAAAGGATTTTGTACCTTAAATTAATCATATATAATGAAAGATCATAGAATATGTAAATCATTATGATATTTTTTTTTAAGAAATGTTAGAAAAAATTTTGTTGACGCAAATTGGTCAAAAATTAATTCCTATTAAAATTTTGATTGTATTAAGGTTGTGTATTTTAGAGTTTTATTTTATTAAACTCAAGACTCATCTAATATCTTAAAATTTGATAATCAATCACATCGTCAGTTATAATTATTTTTTTATTATAATTAACTATTTTGATATATATGCATCGACAAATTAAAAATAAATAAACATGTAAAATACCTTTTTACTTCATTTTGATTTTTAACTAAAATATATTTTAATTTTTGGAATAGAATCCATAACCTTTATAAAAACATTAGAATTAATTGATATAGATAATAAAAATATTAAATTAATATAAGTATGAAACACAATGGTATTTAAATTTAAAATTAAATAATATTATTTTTAAAAAAAGTACATGATGTTACACTTTTATTTATATCATATAAATTCAATATGTTTAAAATGAAACAAATTTAGAAACAAACTGTACAGGACAGGTAAGGGCGTTCGGCCACCAGCATATCGGTCGCCGAATGGCAGAACCGGGTAGCCGAACGCCAATCGGCCACCAGGATCGGCCTATTATCACTTGTTACTCTTAATCAAAGATTAGGGGTTAATTAGCTGATTAAGGTGTATTACCTAATACGGTAAATATGTGTAGGGCCCATGGGGTCCAGAGCCCATAAATGTCAGTATAAATAGCTCAGGTCAAAAGGTAACGTCACTGTTCATTAATTACCTAGATATTCGTGCTTGTCCTGACTTGAGCGTTGGAGTGCCTTTTGCAGGTACCAACCCCTTCACCGGAATATTCGATCGGAGTACTCGTTCGGCCCTCAGATTACGAGAAGACTATTGGTGTATCCTTTCGACAGGTACACAAACTAAATTGTTAATAAACATAAATATTGTATAATTTTATTACTAGTAATTAAGTAATACATTGTTTAGGGTAAAACCTATCATAAATGAGCTTTTAAGTGGTGGATAGGTAGATCAAAAGTGTAGACGGTTGAATACATTACTTAATAATAAATGGTAGATATGAAAGTCATGTTTAATGCGTCTATTGGTAAGTTTAATGTATATGTTATTTTGTTGTTTGGTCCTTGAAAATATTATATTAATTTATTTATTTGTCCTTCTGAAATTGCTTTTTAATTTCATTTGTGTATGACTAAATTGATAGACACTTAATTGTATTAGGGTTCCAAAATTTTTTAAAAAGGAAACCATTCTCCACTATCCTTGAAAATTTTCTCAATCGAGAAATCTTTAATGTCGACGAAGAATCTTGGAGTTTCGAGAAGAAGATGACCAACTTGGAACTCATGAAGAGCTTAATTGGATTCTTCTTGTTTGAGGTTGCAAGAATTGAATTCCAACATTGCCTCGTTCGTTTGTCTTTAACTTCGTTCCTTGTGGAGGGAAGTGTCCATTGATGTATTTAATATATTTTACCAAATTGTCACTTCTTATCTGATTAAGAAAGTTTGATGAATGACCATCCTTGAGACATCATATAGAGTCTATCACAAGGTCCATAGCTAGGAGAGTAGAGGAAGATGAAGAACACACCACACTTAAATCCATGATCATCATGTGTGTGGATTTTGGGCCCTCTCCTTTGTTTGTTGTTTTCCTTTCCTATTTTGCCCTTGTATTTTGGGGTACATTAGATATTAGGATTTTATTTTGTATTTTTATTTAGCCTTTGTATTAAGGGGGAAAATTAGTCTTAGGATTTATTTTGGGACTTAAACCTTGACTTGTGAGGTCAAAAGTCCATTTATTTCCTTTTCTAGGCCTAAGGGTACTTTAGTCTTTTTGGAGAGATGAGAGCCATTTCATTTGGGTTGCATCTAGGGTTCATTTAGGGTGCATTTGGGCTTGAAATTTTTGGCCAAATTCTCCCAAGAAACCCTAGATGGTCTCCTCTCTCTATAAGTACTCTAGGCCCTCCACCTTGTACCCACTTTGGAATATATGCATTTTGAGTGAGTCTTGTTGCCTCAAAAAGCCTTCCTTAGTCCCCTAGGTCCTCATGGCCATTCTCCTCTCCTCTCCACCCTAGAGTGAGTTTGAGTTCCCTTGAGTGGCCTCCACCATCCCTTGGTGGAGAGAACTAGCCAAGAGCACCAAAATCACCTTCCACCTCTCCTTCTTCTTTTCCGTCCACCTCCACCCCCCACACTTCCAACCTTGTTTTTCACCACCCTTAAGGAACATCCAGCCATCATCCTTCTTTCTAATCCGTGGAGAAAGAGGGAGCTCCTCCTCAGAAGCCAAAAAACACACCATGGAAGGAAGGAGCCCATCAAAGTTACTTATCATATTTATAGTACCAAAAGAGAGGAGCATATATGTGTTGATTGGAAATAACTTTTACGTGCTTTGAGGGATTTGCTTGTCTTTTTTGATGCAAAGTATGTTTGTGTTCCATTTTGAAGTATAAGTACCAAATAAACTTTTATTCCTTTCGATCTATTAAAGAATAACATAGACAAAAATGATTGGGTTATCAAACATCATAAATTATATATATAATAAATGCTTTTTCTTTACAAATAAAATGATTTGTCTAAGAGACTTAAAGTAAAAAAGAACCAATCGTCTTATAATATGATCTAAAAAAAATTCTTAAAAAATGCCTGAGTTTGTTATCATTAAAAATCATATTCAAAGGAATCCAAAATTGTCTTTTGACTTAACACACACTTTTCTCCTTGGAGTTGGACAAATGTAAGTGTACTATAGTAAAGAAAGCAACAATTATGCATGTATTTATCAAAAAAGGTTTATCAGCATGCTTATTTTTCTCCTTGTTAATGCATTTTTTACTAATTAATAAATTAACACTAAAAATATATTCAAAAATAAACCAACTTGACAAGTTAAAAATTGACAGTAAATCACATATAAAAACAAAATTATAGCCAGAGTAAAAGCTAATAAAAACCAATAGGCCTTAATACCATGATGAGAGTAAAGGATAAAGTAATCAAACTAGCATATAATGTCAAGTATGTTATAGTAGGATCCACTGTTATATATATATATATATATATTATATGAGGAGGGATCCATTTACTTAAAGAGTAAATCTATCTAGACTTATTCTATTCAATAACTTGTGTTTCACATCAAATTTTAATATTTCAACCGTTCAATTTAAAGTTCTCTTAATGCATACATCAAGTCTGTAAATTTTAAAAGAATTTGAAAATCATTTAATACTTCATTTCATTAATTCAAATGGACGGATAATTATAAAATCATTTCATACATTAATTTGAATTAATGAAATGAAGTATCAAATGACTTTCAAAATTTTTAAAAATTTGCAAACTCGATATATGCATTAAGAACTTTAAATTTAACGGTTAGATCGTTGAAATTTGATGTAAAACATGAGTTATTAAATATAGTAAGTTTAGGTAGACTTACTCCTAGAGTAAATGGATCCTTCGTCATATTATATATGTAATGCTAAAAAAAATACTAAAGTGAAGAAACAAAATATCTTTCAGTTTTAAACATCCCAAGTGATGAAGAAGTTGTTGGAAACTAAACAAGATTGCTAAAAATTTGTAACAAAAAGCCAAATACTTAAATAAAATATGATGAAGAAGAAAAAGAAAAGAACATGATGTCTTTGCATTGTATTTACCTTGCATAAGAAAAATAAACAATAGACATTAAGAAATGGCACCAATGTGCAACCTTATACAAATAAAGCGCAAAAGTAAAAAATAAGAGAAGGATTGGTGTTTAAAAGTTATAATATAATAAGGTTAAATTAGACATTTTATAATTTAGAAAAATTAGATTATGTGACACCCTCTATCCTTCATATATAATAAAATCAATATAGTATTTATAAAAAGAAAATATTGTATTGAATAACTTCAAATAAAGGTAAAAGGTATCACATCTTAAATTCAAACCGAAATTAAACACCTAATTATTACAAAATTAAGAAACATGTGTACAAAAATAAACTATAATTTTTAGAACAAAAGATATAAAAACATGTTTCATAAAGTCTCGATGTCGTAGGTATCAAAGTTATCCCATCCATCAACTAAACTCCTCCAAAAAGGAAGCCTCTTGTAAACATGTGTAAAATCATCCACAAAAGGAATAGGGAAGTGGGAACATATCTCACTTCGGCTACCAATTTAAAATAAGTTGGATAGCCACACACAAATAAACCATTTAAACAGATAATCATATATTTCACCAAACAATACATAAGTAACAAGAAAAAATCTTAACCAATATAACTCAGTTCATACTTCATCCCATCACAACATAAATCAATATATATATATATATATATATATATATATATAACTAAAATATAATTTGGAGAAAAGATAGACACTAGAAGGGAGTTGAATAATGTATATCAAAAACTCGCACGTTTGCAAGTAGGTGACGTAGTATCTGTAACAAACGTAGTAATAAAGTGTAATAGATGAAGCGAAACAAGTCTTTTTATATTGGTTCATCTCAAATCTAGAGACTATGTCTAGTTCTCAATCCAACTAGATTGAGTTTCACTATCTTTTTCTAGATATAAGTATTCTTTCAATAAGCCACTTCTAGCTCAAACCTAAGTAGTCTTTGACTTGCCTCTTCAAGCAACTATCCAAGTATTCTTTCAACAAGTCTCTCCAGGTGCAATACCAAGTGTTCTTTCAACAAGCCTCTCCAAGCTCAACACCAAGTATTCTTTTCAACAAGCCTCTCCACAC